CTGGAGAAGAGCCTAATGCTGGGAAAGATTGAGGGCAATAGAAGAAGGGGACGACAGAGAATGAGATGGCTGGATGGAGTCACTGAAGCAGTAGGTGTGAATTTAAATGGACTCCAGAAGATGGTAGAGGACAGGAAGACCTGGAGGAATGTTGTCCATGGGGTCGCGATGGGTCGGACACGACTTCGCAATTAACAACAACAACAACAACATACTTTATATGGTATTTGATTCAACATTGCTTATATTTAGTTTATTCAGTTCCTAATGGCATCACAAGATGATTTTGCTTATTCCCACATGACATTAAATTCTTCCACCATTGCCCTTCCAAAGTTCCGAAACAGGCAAAAGAATGAAATGTGTTTCCAGGAACATCAAAGGAATCTGAAGAATGGTGAACAAAATGATAAATAAATCCTGACGGGATTTTGCTATCTCTAAAAATGTTGTGACTATTTGTGACAAACTAAATGTTGTAAAAATGGTCCTTTTCAAAAGGATCCCAAATAAAATTACAATACACGGACAATGCTCTAGATATGTTAAGCAAATCACCATTCAAACAATGGATTTTTTTTCTTTCTCTATTCACATAAACCTTAGAAGATCTCGACAAAGCCACTGAGTTTTTAACTCTTTGCAATTGTTAACTGATAAAGTACATGTACTTGTAATCTGTCCCACATGAAACATGATTGTATAACCAAACTACCTCCCCCCCTTCCCATTTCACCCCATTTAAATCCTTCATCAGTCTAGGTACTCTATGCATTTAATACAGTGATCTGCAACTCATGAAAGTATATACTTTTTGTATCTTATCTAGCGGAAATGGCAAAAATTTCGGCTTTCTTGAAAGATCAATCGCAAGAGAAGTATCTCTTGGTGTGGAAAAGATGGATAACTTTTATACAATATAAGTATGATATAAGAAAATACCATCTAGCTTTTGAATAATTTATATTTAAAGTTTAAGATATTTATGTAGAAGTATAATTATTATTATTCTTTAATTATTATTTTTTTTAATCCTCCTTTTTGTTTTTTACATATAATGGAGTTAAAGTATGTTACAATTTGTTTATTGAGTGTAATGATATTAGTTTAAGGTTTATTTGGGTTTAATTTTTTTTTTCTTTTAAGTTCTAGTTAAGCCTGTATTCAGCTCTGGGAAGAATGGGGGAGGGTTTTGGGGAGGGTTGGGAGGGATTGGGGAAAGGGTTTTTATTGTAAAATTTTAAAAACTTTTAATAAAAAAAAAGTATATACTTTTTAAATAAAATTTGTTAAGTCATAAAAGATGCTACAGTACTAGAGTCCTGATTTTTTTTTTTTACCACTATAGACTCTCATGTCTGCCCTCTATAATGTCTTTATTTCATATGAACTGGGATAACCTACATGTCCAGTTATAAGCCAATTCTAATCAAATGCAAGGGACTAATGGCACGAGGGTTAAGGTGTTGAATTAGAATCCAGGACACCTAGTTTAACTATGGAGATTTACTGAGTGATAATAGGTAGATGCTGTGGGGCAGGTGGGGGAACCTACAGAGGACAGAGTATTCTATGCACTACTGTAAACTTTGGAGGAAAAGCAGGGCAGAAATCTAATAAATAAACTAATAAACCTAACTCAGAAGATGAAGTGTTTTGTTGTAGTTCCATGATTCCATGGATGGAGGTTAGAAACCTTGTTATGTACAGCAAATTATCCAGAGACATACTAATTGTTCCTGATTTATTTTCCTTTCATCTTTTTTCTGAGCTGCATCTGGTCACCTTTTTCAGAAATGTAGCCTTTTTTTTTTTTTTTTTTTGCAGTTTGGTTTTCATTACTCCCAATGGGACCCAAAAAGAGAAGAACAGGGTATCTGCAAAGGCATTGCCCCCAATCTGCCAGCGCAAATGTTGCGTGGCTCTCTGTGTCAGCCACAAAGCCTTTAGTATACAGGCAATTCTCAGTAGAGCCAGACCACTTCCCCCAAACCCCCCAGCCTTAATGGGATTTTGTAAAATGACCAATCACCAGTCAGTCGATAACTCCCCAAAGTATAAAGCAAGAACTGTGTTCATTAAAAATGACTGTGTAACCTTGTCATAAAAGAGCATAACTGACTCACTATGGATCCATCTGAAAAGCCAGGGACATCTGCAGCAAGCCAAGATGTTGTCAACATGATGAAATGTGTGAAATGACAGTACAACACAAGCTCTACCACTTACGTACTTGCCGGCAACACTGAGGTAGCATTTCTGTTATGACATATATTTTATCATTGTCCCCCATCTCCCAGTCTCATCAACCCCTGACTGATGTCTACATATATAGCCAGGCTATCATTCAACTTTCAGATGATACAGGATCAATAGCATATATATTTTTCCTCCATTTTTTTTTTAAGATAATGAGAAGCAAGACAAACTTTGGGGCAAATGTCTGTCATATTAGGCTTGAGATGCAGAGGACACCTATCACAGAATAATTGTTCTATCATTCACTTATGGGCTAAAACATGTATTACTCTCTATCAGCACTTGCATATCTCAGGAATTGATTTAAAATGCCCAATCTTTTTTTTTAATGTGACAGAATACGCATCCATGTACAAATGGTATGTATGAAAATGCCTGATCAGAACTACTAAGATGCTCTGAATATTTCCTCAACTGACCCCAACCCATTTCCAAGAGAACAATATTTCAAAGGAAACTGATATTTTTTTTCTTTTTAAATGTCCTTAGAAAATCTTGCTCTCTTCTGTTATAGGAACCAGGAATAAGGTTTCCTCAATTATACTTTTACACTGAGGTTGGATCCCTTTTGTGACAAACAATCAGATCCATTTGTGAAAACTCATCTTCTACACTGGAAAGTCAATCATGAATGCAAAATCAAGAAATAAGAACAGTAAATTATTTTCTTTTCAAACACGGTCAAAAGAAGAATGCAAGAGGAGTCACAGAAATCATTTCTCAACAAGAGGATCACTTGGCCTTGAGCTGACATAGACATTATAGTAATCTCAGGCATGCCGAGGTGGCGCAGCAGTTAGAGTGCAGTACTGCAGGCCACTTTAGCTGACTGTGTTCAGCAGGTCAGCGGTTCAAATCTCACCAGCTCAGGGTTGACTCAGCCTTCCATTCTTCTGGGGTAGGTAAAATGAGGACCCAGATTGTTGGGGGCAATGTAAATATATACATATATACATTGCTTACTGGTGTACACCGCTTAGAGAGTGCTTGCACTTAAAGCAGTATATAAGTCTCATAAATAAATAAATAAATGTTTGGATGCTACTTATTTTCATATTTGGTGGTCGTGTAAAAATATAAAAGCCTTTTGGATTAAGATATGGTGGAATATTCAAAGAATTTTTAGAAGGAGGGTAAAATTTACCCCGCAATTATTTTTATTAGGTATTATTACTGACTGTGATGCTAAGGAAGTTATACTGATGTTAAATTTGATTACAGCCGCTAGGCTGTTAGTTGGACAATATTGGAAGAAGGATTCTTTGCCTACTTTGCAAGAGTGGTTTTACAAAGTTTCTTATTTGGCGGAAATGGCAAAGATTTCGGCTTTCTTAAAGGAGCAATCTCAAGAGAAATTTTTTGTTGTATGGGAAAAATGGATAAATTTTATACAATATAATTTGGATATGGAAAAATATCATTTAGATTTTTTATAATTTGTATAGATTGTTTTTTCTTTTCTTTTTCCGTTTCTTGTTTTTTCTTGTTTATCTTTTTTTTCTTTTCTCTTTCTCTCTCTCTTTCCTTTCTTTCTTTTTTCTTTTTTAAGTATTTTTTTATTAATGTTTATATATATTTTATTATTATAAGATGTAAAATTTGTTTAGATATTTTAAAATTTTAGATAAGCCTATATTCAGTTCTGGGAAATTCGGGGAGGGGGGAGGGAGGGGTGGGCTTGAGAGGGATGGGGTGAGGGTTGATTTTTTTTTTTTGGTTGTATATTTGTAAAACTTTTAAAAATTTTCAATAATAAATAAATAAATAAATAAATAAAATGCATAAAACTTGTCTTCTGGTATTTGCTGAGGTAAGCCTCTATCCTTCAGGAAAAAGGAAGAAACTGGTCTCACAATTATAACTTAACCTTATCTTTCACATCTCTGAGCTTATAGAAATCAGCTCTTATGTGTAAAATTTAAAGTGCAACAGCCACAGGCTATAGGGATGCTCTGTTTTTTGTTCTGTTTTGTTTAAACAGCTCCTCATTCCATTCTACCCTAGATACAAAAGAGCAGAGCTGCGAAAACTGTACAACATCCAACCCCACCACCATTCATTGCCTTCTGTCTTTGATCAGAACAATGTCCCCACTGCCTCAGCAAACTTCCCTGATCAGAGTTAGACTTCTCAGCAGGGTTAAAAGGCTCTACTAAAAGTTGTGCCTACAAAGCACGACAGCACCAGCCAGGATGTTGCTTCAAGCAGGGTAAATTCACCTAGCCTAGGATAGTGCCCAGCCTATTATGGCAGTAGTATCCCGGGTCACAGCGGGCGGGCTGCCTCTGACTGAAATCAAATGCTCAGTTATCTTTTGGCCAACTGCTGAGAAGAGACAAGGAAGGGCGTTGTGCATTGTTGTGAGTAAGCTGAGCACGACATTGAACTCAATACATAATTGCCCTTTTAGATGCCAGAGTCGAGCTCCGTTTTGAGCGATGCCAGGAGTACACATAACGAGTGCCTCTGAGTTCGTGCAGAGGGCTTTCCACCCAGCCTCCGCTGGGGGGGGGAAGAGGGTTCCCGTATTCCGTGCTCCCTTGGCAGTCGGACATAATAGCGTGCAAGCACGGCGCTACCAGTCCCACCTGCCTCCTCCTCGCAAAGTAAACCGGACAGGGAGGCGAGAAGGGCCCGCCCGCTGCCACCGAGGGCGTGGTGCGCGGAGCCGGGCTGCCTCTGGGAGGCCGCGCCTGCCATTGGCTTCTCCTGCAGCGGAGGCTGGGCTAGGCAAGCCGGGAGGGACGGAGGGGAGGGGGGGGGGCAGGGAAAGTTGCTGGCTGCGCCATGCAGTTCCCACTTGGCCCGGGAGTTTGCGCGGGACTGGCGGAGCCGGGAGCCCAGGCGCGAGAGACAGGTAAGCTGATGCCGGCGGGGCTGGGCAAGTGCGGCGCGGGGCAAGTGCGGCGCGCGGTCCGGGACGAAGGGGCTTCTTCTTGCGTCCACGCCTTTCCTCGGCTGAGCTTCGCAGGCTGAAGCCTCTCCTCAGCGTCCTCGCCCTCCCGGCCCAGAAGTCAGACTGACGAGTCCGGTCTCCTGTCACCAGGTTGAATCAGCCCCCACCTCCCCGCTTACGCCCGCCTGAAGGGGCGGGGAGGGACGCCTGGCCCGACGGTTCGACCGCGCGCATCTTTCCCTGGAAAGGCCAGCCCTGGAGCTGGCGGGCTTCGCCTTCCTAGCACGGGAGGTAGCCGTAGGGCGAAGGGGTGGTTTGCTTTGGAAACCTCGAAGCGCCAGAATTTAGGCATGGAGCTTGTTTTTAGGGTGTGGCGGGGAGCTGTTCGTTGGAAAAGTTGGAAAGGGAGGGGGTGATTTAAGGAAAGCGAGGGCAACGGAGGGAGACTTGCGAAAAGTTGCAAATTTTCTCCAGCAACTTTCTTAGGTTGGGGCGGGGTGAACAAAGCCATTGTAAAAGATGACGGGGATTAAGGCTCCGCTTTTCAGCCTGGCCTTTGAGGGACGAGAAGCGCAATAACTTGCTGGCCCACAGCAAATCCATTGAGCCCCAAACGCTGCGTTTCCAGTACTCCGAAAAGAGGACCGGCAGGGGTGGAAATCCCAGCGTTTTATCCAGTTGACAGCAATTCAGATGTACCGGTAATGTTTTGTACCGGAAGACGTTGTAAGGGAAAGAACGTGTGCCGTAGTGGTTAGGGTAAGAGGAGGCAGGTTCTCGCTGGGTGGCTCTTGGCCAGTCACTGCCACTCTTAACCTAGCCTACCTCACAAGATTGTTGGGAAAGTGGATTGGGAGAGGGAGTATTGTAGATATTTGGAGCTCCTGGGGAAAGGAGGAAAGGAATCTATTATTATTAAATCTAATAAACGAGCATACCTCAAGCAGACGACTTCAGGTATTTGGACTACAATGGCCATTATCCCCTGCTGCTCAGGGTGACGAGACATTGCTATTAAACCCCACTGGGGAAGGTTGCTGAAGGGAGAGACTCCCTTGAGGGCAGGTTGGCAAAACTTGCTGTAACACATCAAGATGAGTCCAAGGACTGCTCTTTCCCCCCCCCCCCCTTTTTCTTTTTCTTTGCAGTCCAGGCTGTTTGTGGTTTGACTCAAGGGGTGGCACTTGGGAAGGGGGAAAGGATCTTGAGAAGCAGGAGTGTGCTGGCAACATCCAGGAAGGCAGAGTCTGAGAAGAAAGCATGATCTTTTCCTCACCTCAGCGTAATTCAAACTCCTTCTCGCCTCCTCCTCCCATTTTTTTTTCTGCTTTTTTTTCAAGGGTGGCAGGACGTGAAAGAGAACTGGTCCATTCCTAGGGCTGTTCCTCCCCTTCCAAGACCGCTGTGGAGTCCCAGCCTGGCTGGGAATTGCACTTTCTCTCCAAGCTTCCTTTCTCTGCCTTTCTGCTTGACCCAAGAAGAAGCTTCCGGAGGGCTGGAGCCAAGGATCCTTTAGAGACAAGAGACAGCCCAGGGAGCACCGCAGGAGAACAGTCCCTGAGAAGAGGTGGTGATGCTGGGGTGCTCTCTTTGGCGCTGTGCATCCCCTGCGCTAAGTGGGGAGAGGCAAGGAGCTGGGGGGCTGAAGCTGCTACTCCTGCTGATCCTCTCAGGCTGGGTTTGGGCTCAGCAGCCACAACCACAGATTCTCCCCTGCCCGGCGCTATGTGAGTGCTCAGAGACAGCCCGAACAGTGAAGTGCGTCAACCACAACTTGACAGAGGTGCCGCCTGAGCTGCCACCTTTCGTGCAGGGCCTCTTCCTCACCCGTAACTGCATCAGTAACCTCTCTTCTGCCTCCTTCCTCTCCGCCTCCTTCTCGGAGCTCACCATCCTCGACCTGAGGGGCAACCAGCTGAGCTGGGTGGGCGCGGAAACTTTTGCTGGGCTGCCCCACCTAACGCAGTTGGACCTCAGCGATAATTCACTCACTTGGCTCAGCCCCATGGCCCTGGGCAATACCAGCAGCCCCCTGGAAGAACTGGACCTGAGGAGCTCCCTCTACAACAACAGCTTTGTGCCCCTGGTGGCAGAGCTGCTCCAGACGGGCGCGCTTCTCAACCTGAAGCGCTTGGACCTGTCGGATAACAATTTGATTTATCTGCCAGCCATGATGTTCTCTGCCCTGCCCAGCCTGGAGCACCTAGACATTCACAACAACTCAGTGGTGAGCTTGCATAAAGTGTTCTTGGGGAGCCTCCGACAGCTGCGCAGCTTCAATCTCGGCAGCAACATTTTCAAGACCCTGAGGAATGACACTCTCCAGCAGCTGCAGGGCCTCCCTTTGCTGACCCTCAATCTCAGCAGCAACCCCTGGGTCTGCGACTGCCACATCGAGGACTTGGTGAGCTGGCTGAAGGAGAGCAAGCAGGTCGAGGCCAAAGCGTCCCTCGAGTGCTCCTATCCCCAGGCGTTGCAAGAGCGCTCTTTGGTGAGCATCAATGTGTCGGAACTCAGCTGCCCCTTTCTGATCGATGACCAGACCCCACTGCAGACTTCTTACGTCTTCCTCGGGATAGTCTTGGCCCTCATTGGTGCCATTTTCCTCCTGGTTTTATATTTGAACCGAAAGGGGATCAAAAAGTGGATGTATAACATCAGGGACGCCTGTAGAGACCACATGGAGGGCTATCACTACAGGTACGAGATCAACACAGATTCCAGGCTAACGACCCTGAACTCCAACTCAGATGTCTGAAGAAGTACTACGGGGAAATGGGCCTGCTGCATAATAGCCCTGCATGAAATGTAGACTTTAAATCTTTCCCTTACTCTCACCTTCTTCCTCTTCCCGTTTCACCTAGACATCAGAGACTTCACACGTGCGGAGAATTATGCCTCCCTGCCCAGCATTCACATAGTTGTTATTATGGATGTGGTGCATGGTATTAGGCAGTCTGTACCATTATTACTTTCATTATTACTTTGCAACTCACTACCGGTTTGTGGTTCGATATTTCTTAGCATCTAAACAGATAAGGAATGTTCCCTCTTTGTTTCCCCCGCCGATATTTTCAAAGAGTGAGCATATATTAAAAAATACCGTTCAACAAAGACTGCCTCAACTTTTTTTTGAGAGAGACATTTTACCGATTGCCAGAAGGTTGTTTTTATGCCTTATAATTGGGGAAAAGGTTTATAGGTTGCATGCATATTTAGAAAAGTGACATGTACAGACAAGCAAGTAAATAGCAAGAATGCTCAAAGGGAAAACCCTTAGCCCGAGTAAAATCATATCCCTTAGCCAAGTAAATCAGTTACTGTACTTGGCATGCTTGCCCTTTCCTTGGTTGTTTGTACAAACCACTTGTATGGTTCTGCTTTTGGTAAATAAATACAAGCATTTGCAATTTATATAAAAAATCGTTTTCAAGGAATTCTCACCTCGTATAAATTGCATATGAAGTGAGTTTGCACTGTTAAACAAATCAATAAATGCTTCTGTTCTTCTGCAGTAGACTATCGTCTTCTAATAAGGAAATTAAGCCCACAATACGATAAAAATTCTTTCCTTTTTGATAAAAACTGTGCAAAATATGAAACAAAGTCCTTTTTAAAAAAGATTTGTTTGGGAGCATGTCATCAATGTAGTTTTATTTTAGACAGGCTAGAAAAAATGCAAAGTTACAATAATTTGCATTTTTTTTAAACTGCATCTGAAATACCATCTCTTTTATTATGCAATCTCATTTTACACAACCTGTTGTGACCTAGTAGTGGTTGTACAACAACTCTAAGTGGAAAGATAAAGGTCTAAATGACACTGATTTTTGGAACAATTGCTGAAATTGGAAGCAGGGTTTTGCTGTTGAATAATGTACAGTTTCTTTTTAAAAATCTATGCAAATGTTACTTTTGGCAACTCAATGGGAATTACTCCCAGATGCATGTGAAGAATCTTAAACTGAAAACACATATTTTGTTGAATTAAAATATGGATTGTTTCATTGTTGTTCAGCTTATGTGAACCCAGGAAATTGTGGTTTACTCAACATGCTATGGTTAAACCGGTTGTGGCTTAACAACATATGAATCCAATCCTAATGTCGCATGAGTTTCAGTGACAACCCATCTGGTGGAAAAAGGGTAGCTTTCCAATTTGGCCAAATGGTACCTAATATATCTAAGCTGGAATAATTTGACCAAGGATCTAGGTGCGTATACTTTTGGAAAAATACTGTAATGATAGAACTAAGTCATAGGTCCTGTGGAGTGGTAGACTTAGTCCCAAATAAATATGTTTAGCAATGGTGTCTGATTATAAAACAACTTTATTGAAGTCAGCATGGCCTTAAGTTTTCAGTTGAGAGGTTGTACATCTTCAGACCTCAAGGGGGGAGGCTGACATAACTGTTCACCAAGCTAAAGACAATATTATACAATTCTAGTCTTCAAACCTTAGCTAATATTCACAAGGAATAATATAACATCTGTGCAAATGTATATTTTACAGTTTAACTTGTGCATGGCTATGATTTTATGTGCACATTTATAAGGAAAGATGTTTTGCAAACAATAGGGTCACCTGAATATTGTAATAGTGCAGGAAGTATATTAAACACACGCTTCTTCGAAAAACTGGAATGCATGAATTGTGATGCCAATCTGCATATCAGCTCTAAACAGATAAATTTACTTTCTGTTGAATTGCTCTTAGCGATTTTTGGAAAGTTGTATATATCACACATCCTCGGTATTGCTTGTGAAGTATTGTTCTTTCAGCTAGGTCTAATAAATCACAAATAAGTTTACTGTAGCGATAAGCAATCTTACCCTTATTGGTCTGGAAATAATTTCCAGCGAAATCAATAGCATAGAAATCTATTTGTGTATAAAGTAATTAACATTATTTAGAATGTTTACAGGTTAACTATACCACTGTTTATGAAGCTTCCACACTTATGCACACACACCATTTCTGCAAGTTCTGCTAAATCTCTTTTTGCAAATTCATTTGTCCAATCGTACCATTTTGTGGGAAAGAAGAGAAATAAAATATGTACTACTGATTTATGCTTTTGTTTTACAAATACAAATTTTCTAATTTTAATCATTTCTTAGTCTGTGATATTACTAGAGTTAGTAATGTAATTCTATTGTGATATCAGCTCTTTTAAAAAATAAAATAAAATACAGCAGATACTAACTAAAAATACATTTTCAGACAATGCTAGTGTTTAAGTCATTTTTTCAGTATTTTCAGTAGAGATTGGCATTGCTTTAAAAAAATACTAGTTTTGGAAGGTGTGTTGCATTTTCTTAAGCAGTAGAGCAATGCAAATCTTAATTTGATCAATGAAAAATGTACCGACCAAACAAATGAATATGTTAGCACATATTAATATTACAGGAAGACATCAGGTTCTTAACTGAAGGATCAGAATGGCATTGTATGGCATTATATCTTTATATTTGAATCAATTTGAATCAAATAGTCTTCATTAAAAAAAAATCCGACCAAATTTGCATGTTTCCTAATCAATGAGTATTCTCCTGAGTCAGTTTTAATTAGATTGTCTAAAGTGCAATAGATTTTTCCAATAAGAGAAAGACAGTTATAAAGAACTGTTTATATTTGGCAACTCAGTTCTATCCCCTGCGTTTCTATCCATTTGTTAATACATGACATGTTTAGATGGGCATATTGCTCTTAAATGTTCTTAGAATTGTTAAACAATAGACTGATATTTTTATCTAATTGTTATGTTAGTTTGATGTAGAATTAAAATATACAGAATATAATTCTCTAGTAGCTGAAACTAATGCATCTATCACCTTTTCTCTGCAACATCCAGCTAGAAAGTATTTCTCTCTCTTTCTTGGGACTGGTTTTTCTGACAGTGGAACCCCTTGGCATATTTCACAGTTTCTATTTCCTTAGCAGCTGATAGCGCTTATTAGGGTTTATAAATGTCCAGATTTGCCCAGGAAATCTTTTAGAAAGGAAGTGTTTCAAAACAAATCAATGCTATTTTGTCCTCATCTAAGAACTTTATTCAAATTCAAGTTAAATGGAAAATGGATCACCTCAATAGGTACTGTCACACTATTGCATCTCATTAGGTTGTGATCAGCTGGTAACTACATACTAAGGTCATGGTATTGTAAAGCTGAAAAGAGGCCAAGGTCAATAACATCTTTCTGCAGGTATACTTGGAGCCTGCATAACTCAAAACAGCATTTCTCAGAAGATTATTCTTTTTCATAGAAACATCAATCTCCAGATAGCTCAGTAACATCAACCTTGTAGCTACTTGTACTTTGGGACTCAATTTTCAGACTTAACTATTAAGATACTCTATCTACACACCAAAGGCAGAACTACCTTAAGATGTGAGGGTATCCAGCCACATAGAATATTACACATGAAGGGTCGTTGCCAGATTCACTTTTGTTCTCTTTCCTTTAGATGGATTCTTACCACTGAGCAGCATTTTCTCAAAAAAGGGAGAGAGGGACACTAAGAGAGGTTACTTTCATTGTACTGAATTAGAAAGCCTGTCCTGCCACCCTCCTCTTTCCACCATGTCTCTTCTTTTCCATATGGCAATCTATTACCTCAAACCAGTGTTTCTCAACCTTGACAATTTTAAGGCCTGTGGACTTCAACTCCCAGAATTCCACAGCCAGCAATGCCGGCTGTGGAATTCTGGGAGTTGAAGTCCACAGGCCTTAAAATTGTCAAGGTTGAGAAACACTGCCTCAAACCAAGATGGGAAGAATTAGGCAAAAAGATGGTGATGCCTATATAAAATTAAAGCTGCATCTCTATTGTCAACCAAATCATGGTTGCCTGTACTATCTTTTTTTTTTCAATATCTAAGAGACAATAAATGGTTCACCTCCCTTCACGTGGTCTGCATAGATGGCCTTCCAGAGCTTTCCTATATGAACAGATGCCAATGGCTATCTAGTATCTCTTGTATACAATAAAGATGCTCTTCTCTTGAGGGCCAGCTGTTTCTCAAGTCAGCTGACATTTCAGTAATCCTACAATTTGAGTAACCTTTGATCATTTTGCTTCCCTACAATTTTTTCCTGGGTGCCAATTATATCCATGTATTTATTAACTGTACCGTTAAGGTTATAGATATATAATTAATGTGCAATAATGAATAAGGAAGGTGCATTTTGATATAATGTCTGAGCCCCAGTCCTTATTTCCTTAAAACTATCTGGTAGTCCAGCCATGGATCAAAAGCCTGCCCTATTAATTTCAGCAATGTTCTATACAAGCCTAACCCATTAAAATATAAATTGATTGGATAACAAGACCATTGATAAGATTTCATTATGACTTAGTAATTTAAAACTTTCTTATTTAAAAAAAAATCTCTACTTCAAGGATGATTTTTCCCCCTCTTGTCCCACACTTGATCTGTTGCCAATGGACTGGATAAATACCTGGCCTGACTGTTGCTCAATATACTTACTTGCTAAATTTAGTCTCAGATCAAGATATTTAAGGAGCAGCAGTTACAGCTGGCAAGATCAAAAATCTTATTTAATTTTATCTTTCTTTTTTCAGTGATTGAATGAATTCAACCAACAAAGAAAACCTCTCTATGGGAGAAAAGAGAATAAGGCTTGGTTCAAGAGAGTTGGCAACTCCCAACTTCTATATTTCACTCTTTATGTACTGCAAAAGCAAGGTAGAACATGTCCTTGGCATGAAGTGGAAAACAACAACCTGGTTGACTGAAATGGGATCCTGTCATTTTGATGGACTCCCATGTGCCTGCTGTGTGGTAGATGAAAAACCCTACGGATATTATTCTTTTGGAAATAACCTGTAATATGGGCACTGTTGTGCATTTTCCCCTCTTCATGTCTTAAAGTTGCATTGTAACTGCAATTACATACAGGGGAAAAAAATGGAAGGAAGTAATTTTGCTTAAGGGAGAGTTTCAAAAACAAGCTATATTTGGCTGACTGTGAAGAGAGTTTGGGAAGGATTTTGATTCGATTCTCTTAACATGGGGGAACCTGATATTCTTAAGATATATTTGACAATTCCTACATTCCAGAGTGGATGGGAGTTGAAGTTGAAAACA